ATTCTACTTATGGCTTAGCTGGTGTGCCTGTGGAGAGCATACCCTGTGTTCCAGAACTTTCCCTCCAGTTGCCCCTCAGACAAAATGTAGCTATCTTGAATACCATTTTCCCCCGTGACTTGTCTTAATGGTCCCTAGCTGGGATTCCACCACCTGCCCCCAGGGATTTTATTTTAACAAAGGCCAGCACAAGCTTGATATCTAACCTCAAAGAAAGACCCTGTGGCCCTGTCAAGTTGATACATAAAATGAACCATCACACCTACTACATCAAGGCATACTCCTAGGTAGTGGAACTACAGCAGTTAAAAAAGACAAAAATCCTACCTAGTGGAGCTTACATGGTAGTGGGGGAGGGGATGTGAGTAGAAAGACAATACACAAAATAAATCATAAAAATAGTGCGTTAAATGATGATAACTGTTATGGAGAAAAATAAAGCAATAAAGCAGAGAAAAGGCATAAAGAGTGTTGGTTAAATTAATTTTTAAATTTAAATGTATTTGATAAAGATCTAAAGAGGTAAAGGAGAGATCCATGGAAATATCTGGGTGAAAAGTATTCCAACAGAGGGAACAGCAAGTGCAAAGGCCCTGAGGTAGGTGTGCATTGTGCATATTCAAAATACTGTCATCGTTACATTGGCCAAACATTCTGATTTGTGCACAAAGCAGTTTGAGTTGGATTTCTGTCACTTGCAATAAAAAGATTCCTACTGATATAGCTTCCCTGATCACCTCCGAGGAGCAAATGCTTGCTCTCCCAGCTACTACTAACTGTTGTCTATACCTCTTACCACATTTATTGTCAGTGCTCTTGGCCTCACACAGCTGCCTTTATTTTAATTTGTGCATTATTCAGAAAGAGTGTCAAACAGTACGCATGCTTTCACATCCTGGTCTCAAGATTATCTCCCTTTCATGGACGTGGTCAGGAATGTCCAGAGAGAAGAAGCTCTTTTTCCCAGGACCACGGTCTCAGGAAAGGGCAGGGCTGGTGGAAATTCAAACCTTAGACAAGGATTCGCCCCCAGGAACCAGAGGGTGGAGAGTAGGGTGCACGGGATGTCGGCCCTGGCAGAGCCACCTCCTGGGAGCTCAAACCTCCCAGTTGGGGTGGGGAGCCGGGACAAAGTGCCATGGGCCAGCATCTTCTCTAGGGGCTGCAGTGGCTCTGTGGAGGGGCTTCTGGGCTTCTAAGGTCTCAGCTCGGGGGGTGCCAAGCTGCCCAGTTCAGAGCAAGGGGTGCTGATGGCAAGGCTTAGCCCAGGGCAAAGGGCTTTGCAGGACTGGGAGGAGGGAATTAGGAGACATGAGAATCAGGAGCCTAGGCAAAGACCCCCAGGCTGACTGGTGAGTTTTGGCTTCTCAACTCAGCTGTGAGCTTCTCAGGGTGGGAGCTACGTTTGAGGCTCTTATTGACCTCTCTTAGCCCCTGGGGGACTTCCTGGCCCCATCTGTTCTCTCAGAGATGTGGCTGCCCTAAGGAACGACCATGGCTTGGGGGCTTAGAACAACAGAAGCGTACCCTCTCTCAGTTCCAGAGGCCACGAGTCGGCAGCTGGTTCCTTCTGGAGACTCTGAGGAACGGAGGAGATTCTGTTGCCTGCCTCTCTCCCACCTGCCCGAGGTTGCCAGCCCTCCTTGCTTTGTGGCTGTACCACTCGGATCTTTGCCTGTGTCTTCATGCAGCAGTCCCCTCGTGTGTCTCTGTGTCTTCCCCTGTTCTTTTAAGGACACTCTCACTGAGTTTAGGGCCCACCTTAAATCCAGTACGATCTCCTCTGGAGATCCTTCGCTTAATCCCATTGGCAAAGATCCTATTTCCAAATAAGGTCACAGTCACAGGTACGGGGCTTAGGACTCAGACATATCTTTTTGGGATCACGAGTCAACCCACCACAGATGGAGAAATGCAGGCGCAGAGGAAAAGGGGTTTGCTCCGGGATCCCACGGTACATTAAGGCAGCCAAGGGCCTGCCTGTTCTCCTGACGCTGGCCAGAGCTCTGGCCCAGCCCACCGTCTGTCCCCGGTTCCCAAGATTTTCTGGGAAAGTCTTCAGTGAAAAACCATCTGGAGACTGTCTGGGCTTCTGGGGAGCCTGCCCTTTCCTGTGCAGAATGGCCGAGAATATGATCGCAGGAGGGTGTTTCCTTTCCTGGCTGGCTCCGTGCCTGGGGCCTGGGCTGGCGGATAGGCCCCGCCCTGGGGAAGAGGCCACGTCCCTGCTCGCAGGGTCCCTGCTCCCAACCCCTTCTCTGTGGAGGCCAGAGGCGGCTCTGGTCACAATGGGGAGGGCAAGAAGAATGAGTTTCCCCTGAGGCTTTCTTTCCAGGAGATGACTCTTGCTCTCTTTGGGAAGAGCCAGGGAACATTGTATAGGATTTAAACTGATGAATCCGACTCTAAATCCTCAGCTCTCAGAGGCTGCAGGGAATGATTGGGATTCCGGCCTCAGGGGCGCCTGGGTGGCTCAGTCCGTTAAGCGTCTGCCTTCGGCTCAGGTCGTGATCTCAGGGTCACAGGGGACCCCCGTGATCGGGCTCCCTGCTTCTCCCTCTGTGCCTTCCCCCCTGCTCTCTCTCTCTCTCTCTCTGCCTCCCAAATAAATAAATACAATCTTAAAAAGAAAAATTATTCTGGCCTCAGGTCCCAGCTCTGCCATTTGCTGAATTGTGGCCTTGGGCACATCCTTGACTTCTCTAAGTCTCTGTGTTCTGATTGGTTAAATAGGGACAACAGCAAACTGACCCTATGCAGTCATTCAAAGGATTAACCTAAGCACAGAAAGCCATTATCACAGAGCCCATACTCAGGGGAGGAGAGATGGCCATCGTCATTGTGCATGAAGTGTGGGGGCCACTGACCGCGAGCTCAGGCTACAGGTAAAGTCAAATGTCTGCTGTGATCAAATTAATATGACTTCTAGCCCACAGCTCTTCCTACTGGAAGATTCTCTCCTCTTCCCAGATACCAACACAAGTCCCGGGGTTTTGCTTTTCTGTGCAAATCATAATTCAGGTCCACCTCTAGCGAATGGCCACGGGCCATTTGAGTCAATCCTGGTTTTAAGAACTTCTAAGAGAAAAAGGTGGACAGAGTTGTGACCAGTCTGATGTCATATACATTCAGGGCTGGTTGGGACCTGTGAGGCAAAAGAGGTCTTTTCTGGCTTTAATAAAAGAACCTAAGATTGGTCCCTAATACCTGTGGCCGAGACAGAATCCTGGGGTCTGACCTTCCTGTAATGTGGGACCCCCGTCCCAGGGCGGCCTGAGCACAGGTCAGCAGGCTGGATCTGGGGGCCGAGCTGCCGGGGTGGGGGCTGTGGAGGTCTGATCTCCTCACACGATCAGGCTGATCATGGCCATGGGGACTGCTCCTTCTCTCCCGGAAGACCTCTGGCCGCCCCCTGCAAACCCACCCACCCCGTGGCCAGCAACCCTTGTGCTCTGCATAGCCCAGGATGAGATGTGAGTTTGGTTTGTTCTGTGTCAGGCCAAACACTTGCTTTCTTTCCCATGGAATTTTAGCATCTAGAACGAGGATCTAGAACCTGAGACACCGGGTGGTGTGGGACATCCCGGCAGCCAGGGTTGGCCTTCTCCAGGCAGAGCCCTGGGCCTTGCTCTGCCGGCACTTCCTGAGAACCACATCGGAGATCCAGACCCACAGACAAGAAGAATGAGCAGCGTCATCCTTACTGATGGGGTCACAGGGACCTGGGGGGGGGGGTGGGGGTCGGGAGGGTGGTCTTGATGCACAGCAGGGGCAGCAGCTAAATTAAGCCCCATCACCAGCCCTTTCCTTCTGTCCCCTCTGGCCCTTCCCAGCTCCACATCTCTGCCACCAGATCCCAGGAGCTCGCCCTCCTGCCTCAAAATGTGCTTCTCCCAGGGACTGAGTCTAGTCCTGTGCCAGGCCTACCCTATCATCTCTGGAGTTCTGGCGAATAAGCTTTTCTGCATCTCATCGGACTGGAGCCACACGTACTGTGAGCTGTGGAATTTAGGTTATGTGGGGCCAACAAAGGGTCACGGTGCCAGGAGGGAATGGCCAAGGAGAAAACATGACAAAGTTCAGGCCCTGCCCCGTGCCACCTAGTGGTGGGTATAAAAATGGACCCACTCAACAGTCAGCCTCATGAGAGAGCCAGGGAGAGACCAACCTACATTTTGTGTGGATGGCCTTCTTGGGTGCAAGTGGGGGTCTGGAAAGATCCATGGAGTTGGGGAGAGAATAAGGCTTAGGTCCAAAGCCATAGTAAAGGAGGCAAAATAATGGAGGTTTTTCAATCCCTAGGATCTCTGAATCACGGAATGTTAGGTTCTAAGGATCATAGAGTCACAGCCAAGAAAAGGACCCTAGTTCATCCAGTGGGATTTCCTCATTTTACAGATGTGGGCAGGGATCTGGCGGTTTCAGGGCAAGCTTCAGTCCTGAAGGATGGGCTCGTCCCTGTGAAAGACACTCCCTGTGAGGTCACAGGGGACCCCTCACCCCTCAGCCCCCAAGTCCCCTGGCCAGCCCACTAGAGCTAACTTGCCCATCCATGCAGGGGAAGGGGCATGCCCACGGCCACAGCAGGAAGCGAGCAGAGCTGGGTCCACTGGCCCCCCGTCCGGCTCAGGCGGCCTCTGGATTTGTATCCTTGGCCATCACAGTGCTTCCTAGAGCCACCCACAGCAGTTCCTTGGATATGTAAATAAAGCCTCTGGGTCAGATGTCACCACCTCTGACCAAGCAAGGAGGCAAATTTTGATGCCAGAGGGACCGCCCTTCTGCAAGCAAATTGCAAAGACTGCCCACTGGCTGTATTTTCCAGAAGCCCAAGTCTGGAGAGGTTAGCAGACATCTGAGATGGTTGGTTCTGTTGGAGCAGAACGGGGGGCTCAGCCAGGGATCTGCAGACCCACAGGATGCCCAGATCCCACCCCCCACCCCCACCCTCTTGGAGGATCAGCTTCTTGGCAAACTGATGCTTTGCAAAATGCCCATCCAGGCGGTCCCTGGGCCAAATCAAGAGGAGCCTCACTTTGGCACCTGACCCCTTCATAGAGAACAGTCATTGGTTGACTCATGCAGAAGAGCACCCCCTTTGTTTGGGCCTTATTTCTTCCTCCCTCCAATCTCACGGTTCCAGGGAGAACTTCCAGAAACAGTACACTGTTTTTGCTATGGGAGAAGGATTGTGCCCCAGGCTGGGGAATCAGAGAACCTCATTGCCCCGGCCACAAGGAACCAGTGGGACGTGGGACACAAGGAGTCTTCTTACTGGATCTGGAGGGGGAGACGTCCTTGCATCCATAGTCCTGGAACCGGAAGGATGTGAGTTGGAATAGGCCTGAGGTTCTGTTCTCTCTGCTATGGAAAAAGCCTACCTATACTGGGACTGAATGAGGCTGGCGCCCCAAAAGAAACACAGAGCTGGGGAAAAGGAAAGAGAGAGAGAGAGACCTATGACCATAATGAGGTCCCTAATCTCAGGACCTGAAGGTTCAGGAGTGGCCTGAAACCTATAGATTTCCCTTTGATTCCATGAGCTAGATCAACAGCTCACAAACATTCTACCTACGACCCATTGCACTCTGCAATCCAGAACACACACACAAGTACAGGATGAAAGGTATATAATTTTCATGAAGCAACATTTATACCATTATTATGTGTGATACATTTTTTTTAAAGATTATATTTATTTATTTGAGAGAGAGAGAGTGAGCATGAGCGGGGAGGAGGGGCAGAGAGAGAGAGAGAAGCAGACTCCCCACTGAGCTCAGAGCCCGAAGCAGGGCTCAATCCCAGGACCCTGAGATCATGACCTGAGCCCCTAACCTATAGGATCTGATGCCATCTCAGGGGAGACAGTGTCGGGACTGAATTAAATTGCAGTCAGTCACCTCTCTGGTGTCAGAGACTTGCTCACTGGTGTGGGGGAAACGTGCACGTCGGAAGCAGGTGCAGAGTTGTACGCTCCCGGCACAGGGCTCCGACGCAATGTTCTGCACTGGGCAGTTCCCATCCCTCCAAACCCCCAATCACAGAAATCTGGATTTTTCTTGAGGGGCAGGAGAAGGAAGGGGAACACGTCCTCAAGAGTGTCTCAAGGATCCCATGAGAGGTGAGTCTTGTCTGTGTGTATAAAGCGGTAACAGTGACATGCATACCTGGTGATGGTCTTCCCATTGTCAAGATGAACTCACTGGACCCTTGCAGGAACCCACGAAAGGGTGCTGGAGGGTTCGGAGGACAGGCAGCAAGGACCGGGTTCAGTGCCTTTTTGCCGTGTGACCACTGCCCCACTGCTCCCCTCCGTCGAGGCCCTGGGGATTCCGGGGCTGATTGCAGGCGAAGCCGTGGGGGCAGGGATGGAACTTTCACTACATTTGGCAAATTGTGCTCCCCGGGCACGGGAGGAGGGAAGAGATTCCCAGAACCCAGGAGTTTCAGGCTCAGTGCGTACCTTAAGGCCCCTTCTCCCCAACATACGACGGTCGCCACCTGAGCAAGGGCTGCCCAAGGATCACAAGAATGCCTTTTGGGCTGTGAGCACTGGAGCCGTGGTTTAGGATTTTTCTAACAGTGGCCCTAAAGCATCCTGCTCTGAGGGGCCCAGCTGGAGGCAGGTGTGCCCATGTTCCTACTGCCGGCTGCCTCGGGGTTGGGGAAGCCGGTCAGCGGCTTGGGTGTCTTCCATGTGCAATCCCGGGGGCCTCCCTGGCCGCTCTGGGAAGGAAGAGAGAGAGTGCCTGTCTGCAGCTAATGAGCGAGCTCGGAGCAAAGAACAGCAAGTTCTATGGGAGAGTTCTACACAAAATCAACCATCGTAGTCACTTCCAAGGGCACAGTTCAGTGGCGGGGAGTACGTTTACGTGGTCCTGCAGCCTCACCCCCTGCCCCCTCCCTACACACACACAGCATCCACCCCAGGGAGCTTTTCATCTTGCAAAACTGAAAGAAACTGTGTCCCCATTAAACACTAACTTCCTGTTCCCTCCATCCCCCAGCCCGACAACCACCACCCTACTCTTGGTCTCTGTAAATCTGACTCCTCTAGGCACCTCATCTAAGCTGAATCATAGGGTAGTTGTCCTTTTGTGGCTGGCTTCTTTCACTGAGCATAGTGTTTCCAAGGCTGATCCATGTTATAGCAGGTGTCAGAGTTTCCTTCCCTTTTAAGGTTGAATAGTAGCTCATCCTATATGTTGAATATGTTGTATGTAGAATAAGCCTATCCCAGCGTGCGTGCATATCTCATTTATCCACGGACACTGGTTGCCTTCTACCTTCTGGCTGTTGTGAATAATGCTACTGTGAACATGGGTGTTCAAGTATCTCTGAGACCCTGCTTCCAATTCTTTTAGGTATATGACCAGAAGTGGAATTGCTGGATCATATGGTAATTTTATCTTTAGTTTTTGAGGAGCCTTCATGCTGTTTTCCACATGGGCTGCGCCATTTCACACTCCCACCAGCGATGCACAAGGGTTCCAATTTCTCCACATCCTTGCTAATGCTTATTTTCTGGAAAAAAAAAATTTTTTTTTTAAAGATTTTATTTCTTTTTTAAAAATTTTTTTTTATTTTTAAGATTTTATTTATTTATTTATTTGACAGAGAGCGACACAGTGAGAGAGAGAGCACAAGCAGGGGGAGTGGGAGAGGGAGAAGCAGGCTTCCCACCAAGCAGGGAGCCTGATGCGGGACTTGATCCCAGGACCCTGGGATCATGACCTGAGCCACCCAGGCGCCCCTAAAGATTTTATTTCTTTATTTCAGTGAGCGAGAGAGAGAGAACATGAGCAGTGGGGGTGGGGGGGAAGAGGGGCAGAGCGAGAGGGAGAAGCAGACTCCCCACTGCGCAGGGAGCCCGACTCGGGGCTCAATCCCAGGGATCGAGCCAGAGATCACGACCTAAGCTGAAGGCAGACGCTTAACTGACTGAGCCGCCCAGGCTCCCCTGAAATTTTTTTACTAATAGCCATCTTAACAGGTGTGAAGGGGGGCAGGGTCATGTGGTGATGGGGAGCCCAGCTGTCCCCCTGCTCATTGGCAGGAACCAAGATGCCAGTCACTGCAGCAGGGATAGGGTGGGTTGCCATCTCACAGGATCCCGTACGAACAACAGCCCCTGTGCCGTTTCTTCCAATAACCAAAGTACAGAGCCCAGAAACCACTGGGTGGAAAGCAAGGGGCACGTCTTGTGGTTTATGCCATGGGCCCCAAAATGTCACTTCCCATTCCGTGACTTGAGGCTCTACGTGTCGAGAAGTTTTGATATTCCTCCAAAGGGAGAGTACGGCCACCAGTTCTCTTAATAATTGTTAAATTCAAGCTGAAAGTGTGAGCTGGCCTTTCCAAACACACACGTAGCTTTACTGAGCTATAATTCACATACCATATGTTCCACCCATCAAATGGACACATTAGTGGTTTTTAGTACATTCTTAGAGTTGAGTCAGATTTACAGAGACCAAGAGTAGGGTGGTGGTTGTCGGGCTGGGGGATGGAGGGAACAGGAAGTTAGTGTTTAATGGGGACACAGTTTCTTTCAGTTTTGCAAGATGAAAAGCTCCCTGGGGTGGATGCTGTGTGTGTGTAGGGAGGGGGCAGGGGATGAGGCTGCAGGGCCACGTAAACGTACTCCCCGCCACTGAACTGTGCCCTTGGAAGTGACTACGATGGTTGATTTTGTGTAGAACTCTCCCATAGAACTTGCCGTTCTTTGCTCCGAGCTCGCTCATTAGCTGCAGACAGGCACTCAGAACTGTCTCCAGAACATCTTCATCACCTCCAAAAGAAACCCCACAGTCATTAACAATCTCTCCCCATTCCTCCCTCCCTGGGGCCCCTGGAAGCCACCATTCATTCTCCTTTCTGTCTCTATACTCCTGCCTACTCTGGAAACGCCATATAAATGGAATCACACTCTGTGTGGTCCTCTGTGCCTGGTTTCTCTCACTCAGCATGATTGCAAGGTTCATCTGTGTTGTAATATGTGCCAGTATTTGTCTCTTTTTCATTGCCAAATAATATTCCATTGTATGGATGGACCATGTTTTATTTAGCCATTCACCAGTAGGTGGACATTGGGTTGTTTGCACTTTTTGGCTATTATGAATAATGCTGCTGTGAACATCCATGCCCAAGTTTGGGATACGTGTTTTCATTTCTCTTGGGTATATATCTGGGATTGAAATTGCTGGATTATAGGGTACTTCTATGTTTACCTTTTTTTTTTTTTTGGACCCAGAAAAGGATGCATTTACTTAACAAAATCCTAACTTTTTGGACCGAAATCCATTTTTCTGACTTTTTAAAAATTGAAATAAAATACACAGGACATAGAATTAGCTATTTTTTAAAAAGATTTATTTATTTATTTTAGGGGGGCTAAAGAGAAAGAGAGAAGTGAGGGAGGGGCAGAGGAAGAGGGAGAGAGAGAAACCCAAGAAGACTCCCCCGTTGAGTGCAGAGCTCAGTGTGGGGCTCGATCTCTCAACCCATGAGATCATGACCTGAGCTGAAAGCATGAGTCAGACATTCAAATGACTGAGCCACCCAGGTGCCCCAGAATTAGGTATTTTATTTATTTATTTTTTTAAAGATTTTATTTATTTGAGAGCGAGAATGAGAGACAGCATGAGAGGGAGGAGGGTCAGAGGGAGAAGCAGACTCCCCGCCGAGCAGGGAGCCCGACGTGGGACTCGATCCCGGGACTCCAGGATCATGACCTGAGCCGAAGGCAGTCGCTTAACCAACTGAGCCACCCAGGCGCCCAGAATTAGGTATTTTAAAGTGAACAATTCAGTATTGCGTACATTCGTAATGTTGTGCAACCATCACTTCTCCCTGGTTCCCGAATGTTTTCAACACCCCCAAAAAGAAACCCCAAACCCATTAAGTGGTTACTCCCCAAGTCCTTGTCCTCTGGTCTCTCTGGCAACCACCAACCTGCTTTACGTCTCTATAAACTTACCTGTTTTAGATATTTCATGTAAAAGGAATCATCCAATGTGTGGCCTTTTGTGCCTGGCTTCTTTCATTTAGCGGCAGAAGGCCTTTGGGGTTTAATCACATTGTGGCCTGTGTTGGCACTTTATTCCTTTTTATGGTGAATAAAATTCCATCGTAGGTATATGCCATGATTTATGTATCTATTCATCCACTGACGGTATATTTACTGTTCTGAGGGACTACTAGACTGTTTTGGGGGACTGTTGTTGACACAGGTGGTTGGCTGTGCTCATCAAAAGAAGTAGTAGCATACTGCCAACATGCCCTGGGGGAGGGAGGTTCCCATGCCCTAGGTCCGTGCCGGCTTGCCCTAACCAGGGGGAAGCTGCTGGAAGCCTAACCCCACCTGATTCCGGAACATGTGAAGCTTAGGGTCTACCCTTCGGAAAGGACTCCAACCTGATGAGGAGCTGACCGAAGGCAAGGGGATAAAGGAATGGGTAATTTAGGAAGGAAAGTCGCAAATACCCGCCATGACGCTGAACTAATTCTCATGAAGCCCTTGGAACAGCACTGGCACATGGCAAGTACTCAGTAAATTCTAGCTCTAATGATTACTACCAATATTATTACTAATATTTTTGAAGTTGGCCAAAATATTGTGAATGCCAGTTTCATAAAAAGATTATAACCAAAAGATTGCAACTCCCTGCTTGCTGTGTCAGCGTGATTTTTCAGAAGTTTCCTTCCCTTTCCTCCTCATTCCCTTTCTTATCTACTAAAGGTGGTTAGATTTACCACTGAGGTCATAGATTTGAGAATATCAATAAGGGTTGTGGTAGAACGAGAGAAGGCTGGACACCCTGGGTCCACTGGGTAGATCCGTTGCCTGCAGATACAACCCCTGGGTGTGACTTCTGGTGCAACTCTTGGGGAGGACTGGGGACATCCAGAGCTCTATTTGGGTTGTCGCAGCTCATAAAGAAGGCCTTCTTCAGTCCTATACCTGGAAGGACGGTGTGTGTGGGGGGGAAGCACAGTGCAAAGGATGGGATGCAGAGGACACCTATTGCTTTTGCCTGCCCAACATCCTTTCTTGGCTGATTCTAGGAACAGCGCCCCCTTCCTTTGGGTAACTGCCTCTGCTCTACCCCAGGGGGTTCTGGTGGGTGCACTAACAAGCCTCACCTCCACGCCTCCCAGCCTGTTAGAGCCTGAATGTCTGTGCCCCCCACCCCAGATTCACACGTTGGAATCCTACACCCCATGTGATGGTATTTGGAGGTGGGGCCTGTGGAAAGTGATTGGGTCGTGAGGGTGGAGATTTCAGGAGCAGCATGGGTGTCCTTCTAAAAGAGACCCCCGGCTCCTGATGGGCTACTGGCGGCCTGCTCCCTGCCCTCTCCCAGGCCCGGTGGTTTTGCTGCACGTTTGGAGCTGGAGCTGCTTCAAGGGTGTTCCAGAAGATTCTTAAGTTACATTAGCCTGAATCAATCTCTAGGGCTTGTGTTCAAACCACAGCTCCAGGCAGCCCAGAGGTGTCTGGCTGTCAGCTCCCTAATTCTCCAGCACCAGGGACTGTGGCCAGGTCCCCAGCAGGGAGGGCAACCTGGAGGGCCTGCCTTCGAGCACCAGACTAACTGGCTGGCATTCCTACCATCCTCATTTAGGTCACAAAAGGGAGGCCCTGGCTGGTTTGTTGGGTAACAGAGAAACTCTCTAAGCCCTTGATGAGAGCAAAGGGGATGCTTTTGAAACAGTTCCAGTGTATAGTTCCCTTTTTCTTTTTTAATATTTTATTTATTTAGTTGAGAGAGAGTGAGAGAGCGAGAGAGAGCATGAATGGGGGGGAGAAGAGGGAGAAGCAGGTTTCCAACGAACAGAGAGCCTGATGCGGGGCTCAATCCCAGGACCTTGGGATCATGACCTGAGCCGAAGGCAGATGCTTAACGACTGAGCCACCCAGGCGCCCCTATATTTCCCTTTATCTGTGCGACATCTCCCTCCCCGACCCCCTTTGCCATCAATTTCTCAAGGAATGAGAACAAAGGACAAGAAGTCCTCAGGATAGGGTGTGGGGGGGGCACGGACCTGACCTTAGAGAAGTCCCTACAGAGAGGGGTGTAGGGAGAAACCTTCCAGGATTGGGAGGGCAGCAGGCAGAGGGAGGGACAAGAGCAATAAGGCAATCAGACTCGGGCAGAAGTGGTAGGAAAAGTCCGCCTGGGGGAAGGAAGGAGGCAGGCAGCCCGAGCAGAGAGGTCTGGGGCAGGGGCAGCAGCTAGAGAAGCCCCAGTGGTGTGTGTCTGGGTCAAGGAAGGGGCTGGACCACCTCCTCCCCTGCCCCCAGGTCTCCTCAGCTCGTCCTCCCCTCACCCTGCCCCCTGCAGTTCCCCAGGGCCTGAGCAAGGCCTGCAAGGTGGGACGTGGGCCCAGCGCATGGGAGCCTATTCCACGGGTGTGTGGGCCGGAGGCCGGTGTGCCTGCAACCAGAGCCCGGGGGCCGCCACCAAGCCAACAGCCAGCTGGATGGGCTTCCCCAGCCCGAGGCAGCTGCCGCCTGATGGGATGGTGGGACACAGGAGGCCTCTGGGCAGGCCAGGGAGACCCCAGAGGCACAGCACAGGCATCCCCACCCAGGTGCCCTCTCAGGGGGCTGCAGACTTTCAAGGGGAGAGGGAATGCCCTGATGCCCAAGTCGGGTCCGAATTTGCCTGAACATTCACCTGCCGAGTGACCAACTTGACCCAACACTGTGTATTTGAAATTGCAAGAGATCGAGGGAGCGTAAGGTAAGTTTGTTCTTGTCAGCAGGCTTGGGGCCCCCGAGGAAGGGGAGGTGAGGTTTACGAAATGAAGCAGCTCTGTCCTCTTGCTTGGCTGGGTGACACACCACATGTTTTCTGTCTCACCCCAGAAGCGGCGTTTGCTGCATGTGACATTCTTTTGCTCGCCCCGCGTCTTTTAGGGGGTCTTGCTTCACCAGCGCCGCCGTGGTAAACACCACCCTAGTCCAGTGGCCGGCCTGGTGTCTGAGGCTCCCAGGCCCTCAGGGAAGGCCTCGGCATCTGGGACTGTCGCCGGGGAAAACCACAGGGAGGCCGGAGGGCGGCTGCCCCAGTTGGAGGACAGCCTCTGTCCAGAGTGCACGAGGCCAGGACACCAGGGCCCCTCAGGCCCCTCCAAGTCCCAGCTCAGCAGCCCACCGGCCTCTCATCCCTCCTCCCTGCTTGGAGGGCCCTGGGGGACGCCCACAGAGCCGGTGTGGCCTTCGGGAGGGCTGGGGAGTCAACCCAGGGCTTTCTGCCTTATCGACGTGCACAAACCACACGGCCCACACTCCCCCCCCCCCCCCCCCACACACGGAGACACAGATCTCAGCCCATGACTGCGCAGGTTATTCCTACAGACATGGAGGCTAGAACTGGGTGACCATGGGCAAGCCACTGACCCATGCCACTCCCCCCCGCCCCCCAGGGTCTCAGTTTCGCCATCTGCAACTCGGGAGACTCACAACCACAATCCTGTACTCAAACCTTCGGGGCCAGATGTGTTTCAGAGTTTCCCATGGTCTGGATTTGGGGAAAGGTTCTGCAAAGGTTTTGCAACCCCCTCGCCGCCCTGTTTGGTCACACGCTACTATTTCTCAGGGAAACCACAAAGGTGCGAATGAAGCGGGATACGCAAGAACCACGTCCTTGCACCCGGGCGGGTCAGGGTCAGGTCCCTCCACCACACGAATTACCGAAACGGGTCTCGGGTTCCAGCGACTTCTGCAAGTCACAGTTACAGATCTGAGGCATCGGCCCTCGCCTGTCCCCAGCTCAGAGGGAGGGAGAGCCCGGTGACAGCACCCACGGCAGCCACCGGTGACGCATCTGTGGGGCGCTCAGTCCACGCTGGGCGCTGAGGACTCGCTCCTCACCACGGCTCTGAGCCGCAAGAACTATTTTGAGACCCATTTCACAGCTGGGGAATCGAAGCCAAGCACTGGTGAGGAACAGCTCCCCGTGGTCCCCTAGACTGAGCCCTCACCTTACTGGCCACTGTCCTGGCGCCCAGCACACAGCGAGGGCAGGGCGAGGGGGGCTTGGGCCTCTGCCCACAGTTCTGCTGCTTTGCTTCACTGCACAGCTAGAAGAGAAAGAGGCAAAGAAGGAAAGCAAAAGTGAAAACCATTTCTCAGTAAGCCCTGCTCTTCCCCGAAATGTTGCTTCAGTTCGTACCATTTCTGTGCCTGCAGAGCCCAGACCCAGGTTCTCAGCTGACTCAGAAGAGGTCTGCAGAGCTTCGGGCTTTCCCCCCCGGGCGGCAGAACCTGCTGGAGACTCTGCTTCAGCCCCCCGCCGGACCAGAGGCCCCAGAGAGGTAAGGACAGAGCGCAGGGTGGGGTCCTCCTGTCCCTGGGCACCCGAGCCCTCAGCGAGACAGCAGGCGGAGGAGCGAGGCTGTAGGCACTTGGCTCAGGACAGAGAGCTGGGACCAGGGCCACCGGGGTCCACATCCCCGTCCTGTCAGGGCTCTGGCCTCGGGAAAGGCCTGAAGCTCAACTTCTTTGATGGTAAATCAGGGTAGGATTCTCTCTTCCTGGGCTGTTTGAAGTTTAAGTGGAAACAGGATTATGAAGGTGATGGGACAGATCAAGTTACATCTCACCTTTGCTGGCTGGGGATGCCCCTCCCCCGACCGGTGCTAGACTGGGAAGACTTTTTTTCTAAGTTCTTTCAGAAGTAGAGAGGGAGAGAAAGATGACCGGGAGAGAGAAGGCATAGCTCAGGTATCATTTCTGACATACACTCTGAGGCCAAGCACCAAATATAGGAGAAGAGATGAGAGAGGATGTGTCCCTTTCCTCAGGCAGCCGGAATAAAAGTGCCACCAACTGGGTGGCCTAAAATAATGGAAATGGATTCCCTCCCAATCCTGGAGGCCAGAGTCTGAAATCAAGGTGCCAGAGAGGTCGTCCTCCAGCTAAAGGCTCTCGGGAAGAATCAATTCTTGCTCACCTCTCACAGCCTCTGGTGAATCAAGCAAGCCTGACCTTATGACAGCTTAACCCCCATCTCTGCTTCGGTCATCACGCACCCGTCTCCCGTGTGTCTGTGTCCTTTCCTTGTAAGGAGTCGTTGGAATTAGGCTCCCCCCCACCCCGCCTCCCCCAAACTAGGATGAATTCATCTCAAGATCCTTAACTAATTACATCTTCAGGAACATGATTTCTAAATAAGGTCACATTGTGAGGTTCCAGGGAGACGCGAATTGGAGGGACACCACTATTCAACCTGCTAGCGGGGACAGTCTTAAAAAAAAATTAAGGCATCACAGGCAGGTATATGGCAAAAGTGATTGATAGAAAGTATAAAAGGATGAAGCATGAAAAGCAAGCTTCCATCTCATCCCTGACCCCCAATCCAATCAGTGTTGCTAGTTTCTGGTCTCTACAAACATATGTGTCTTTCTTCAATGCAAATGGGAGCACAGAATACAGAATCCTATACCCTGCCTTCTCATGTACCAATGTGCACTGGAGAGCCTTCCCTCTGTTTATATGGATTTGCCTCATTTGGTTAAATGACTGCATACTATTTCGTTGTTAGATAAACCACATACTTAACTAGTCCATTTGGGGTGGTTTTCAGACTTTTCTTTTTTCTTTCTTTCTTTCTTTGCTTCCTTCCTTCCTTCCTTCCCTTCCTTCCCTTCCTTCCTTTCCTTCCCTTCTTTTCCTTTCCTTCCTTTCTTTCCTTCCTTCCTTCCTTTTTTTTTAAACTATGAATTATGCTTGCTTTTTGCTCCCTTTTTGTATCTGCATGTTTGCCTGGTTCTTTTTTTAAAAAATAACCTTCATATTTTAGAATAGTTTTAGATCTACAGCAAAAGTGAGGGGAAAGTACAGAGATTTCCCATATGCCCCCTGGCTCCCCTCACCCCCCCAGCCATGCACAGCACTCCCCCCACCCTATCAACATCCCAGACCAGAATGGGACACTTGTTATAGCTGGTGAGCTTACATTGACACATCATTATCAACCAGAGTCCATAGTTTACATTGGGGTTCTCTCTTGGTGTTGTGTATTTTATGGGTTTGGGCAAATGTAAAATGACATGTATCTATCCACCATTGCAAGAGCTGACAGAATAGTCTCCCTGCCCTAAAAACCCTCCCTGCTCTGTCTATTCCTCATTCCCTCCCGCCAGCCCCTGGCAACCACAGCTCTTTTTACTGTCTCCAGAATTATGCCTTTCCCAGAATGTCCTGTAGTTGGAATCACACAGAACGTAGCTTTTTCAGACTGGCTACTTTCACTTAGTAAAATGCATTTAAGGTTCCCCCAGGTCTTTTCATGGCTTGATAGCTCATTTCTTATAGTGCTGAATCATAATAATACTCCTTTATCTGGCTGGACCACCGTTTGTTTCCTCACTACTGAAAGACATCTTGGTGGTCTCCAAGTTTTGGGAATTATGAATAAAGTTTCTATAAATAGAATATATATTGCGACACCACACTATAAAATGTACTGGCGGTAGTTGGCAAATATTTAGTATATTGTCAGTATTTCATTATTACTTTGATTTCACATAACCTAAAATCCCGCCGCAAACCTTGAACTTCACATGGTTTCCTGGCACCTGCAGTAACCTTGTTTTCCAGGTGTCCAAGCAGAACGTTGCACCAGTGACTCACGAGGGCACCTCTAATTCTCCCATGGACCAAATGAGCTCAACTCTGGGGTGGCAGGAGCCTCTGGACAGCGAGGCAGGGACAGAATGCCCAAGGTAAGGTGGAGAGCTTTGTCCCTGGGGAGGGCGGCTTCTGCTGAAATGCTCCAGGCATCCTCCTGCAATGCGACGGGGAAACAAATATGCCACGGCCTACACTGAATATTTTGGAGAGAAGGCCAGATCAGTCAGGTGCCCGACATCGGGCAATAGGCCTGGAAGGGCAGAAACTGCCCCGCTCATAGAGGGGAGGCCCGTGAGGCCTCAGCCATTACTGAAAGAGCCCATGGGTGTCACTGCATTGAAGAATTCAGGCCCGATGAGCCGCAGATCAGCAGACGTCACCCCACCAGCTTCCAGCACAATGCGGACAGTCAACAGATGTTCGCTGAGCGAGCCAGGGGAGCTTATGCGAGATGGTGCCTTCTAGAGCTGGACCACCACGCTGTACCTGTCCCCCGTGAGGATGGCGGCGCAGGAAATGCCCGCATCGGAGACATTCGGGTTCATTCAAAAGCACAAGAAGTCTAACTCCCATTCTCTCTCAACCATGTTAAAGACAAAACTCAGTAGTGGACGCAAAGTGGGGTAGTCAATCTCTGTACCTCCTTGTCCTTTCGTCTCCTTGCCCCCGCTCCCTTGAGGAAACACAAGGGCATGGAGGGCTGGGTTGTGGCATCGCAAAGGTTAGGGGTCCTCAGCCATGGCCTCCCTCCTAGCCTTCATCCCTCCCCTTATCCCTGCAAGCCCCTGGCAACCTTCTGCTCTGTGAACTGATTTACAGCTGCTGATTAACTGATCATTGGGCCTAAATTCATTCGTTATTAATGCTAAGGGGTTTCCTTGGAAGTATATTTGGTTTTTTACCTCTTCCATTGAGAAATTGTGTGCGTGTGTTGAGAGAGAGAAAGATATTAAAAGATGTATATATATATATATATATATACACTTCAGTGAGGAATTCCTGACATCAGCTGACAGAGGAGAGAAAAACTGCCCAGAATGGCAGTGGGCTCGGAGCTCCATCTTCATCTCACGCATCCCTTCGCGCAAGTCCCCTTTCCTCTCTGGGCTTCTGTTCCCTCCGCTGAAAAGTAAAGGTGGTAGCTTGTACCCTGGTTAGGGCTCCTTCCAGTTCTGAGTCTCTCCTCTGGGCCAGGGAATCCGTCATCACTGGGCCTCCTAAGCTCACCCTGAAGGAGATGCACCAACAGCCCTTGGTTTGAGGAAAGTGCCCGAAGGAGTCAGTTTGCTCCTCCCTGATACTGTTCTCCCATAAAGGCCAAACTCTTCTGGGGTGATGAAGATCCCTTAATACTTTGTACTGTGAGACACTGGGGAGGAGATGCCCTTTGTCCCTGACATCTTCCATGAAGGACCCAACCCATCTGCTTGAGTCGTCAAGTAAAACTGGCGAAGTACCAAGGAGAACCTTCAGAATATTAGTGATAATTTACTTCAGCCCTCTCGGTGTTCAAATCCAGATGGAGGCAAAGGCCACCACAGCAGCCAGACTCAAGGCCGTGGGAGTGTAGGCTGCATTGTACAATATGGCGCCTCCTTCCTCTGACTCACCTCTACAAATACAGGACCCTCGACCTGGTCTCCTCTTTCTCCTGCTTTTCCCACACCTGCCCCTCCATTAGTCCCAGGTTCTTTATCTTGACTCAGATCTTAGCATTTCCTCACTGTCCCTCCTGGGTGACAGTCTCTTTGAACAAGGCTGAACATGTCCCCCGGGACTAATCTACCTTCTCCATCTCTTAGGCAAGGCTGTGTTTCTCCCATGTGTCCCTCCAGAAGTCTCTACTATGTGTGTTTCTTCTCTTCATGGAAGCAGCAGCTCCCAACAATGCTCTGGGACTCTCCATGGCCGGGTGGGAGGTAACAGAGGTGTCAGGGAGATGCAGGACGAATTCAGAGGCAGGCGTGGCAAGAACACCCAGAAACCACAATGAGCCTGACTAAGAATGTGACTTTCTCATCAGGGAGACTTAAGCAAAACCTTTCTTTTGCTCACCCACAGGGACCAGGATGACAGTCTTCTGTGTGAGGATGTGCAGCAACAAGATGAGGATCTGTCAGCTGAAGAAATAATATTTTTGAAAGAGTTTCCCATCATCAAGGAAGAGCTAGAAGTGGACATCAAGAAGCTCCATGCCCTTGCAGATGACATCAACACAACCCACAGAACATTCACCAAGACCAACATGTTGGCCACCTCCATCACTGTGGTCTCAGACACCATGAGCATCCTGGGTCTGGTCCTCGTCCCATCAACAATAGGAGGAAGTCTGGTGCTCTCTGCTGTTGGTAAAGTTTTGGGGACAGCAGCCGGGTTCACCAGCATCTTCACCAATGTTATGGAACACTTTCAAAGTCAAAAAGCCCGAACTCAAGCCAGCACCCTAGTGTCTACCCATAACCATGAGGTCGAGGAGGCTCAGGGAAAGATGGTCTATATCATGAGTGTCGGAAAGAAGGCCTATGATTGTGGAAGTAACATCATGGATGTTAAGAGGAACATCCATGCCTTTCAGAGAGCCAGAGCCCACCCGCGTCTGGCCACTGCAGCCAAGCGTCTCCTGACCACTGGCCAAGTCTCGGCCCGAAGGAGCATGCAGTTGCAAAGGGCCTTTAAGGGCACAGCAGTGCTGATAAAGAAAAATGCTCGCATGCTGTGTAGTGCTATGGCTGGCTTCTCCCTCTACCAGGACGTGGTCACCCTCCTGACCGACTGGAAGCAACTGAAGAAAGGAGAAGGAAGCAAGATGGCAGAAGAGCTGAGGGCCCACGCGCGGGAGCTAGAAAGGAAGCTGACAGAACTCACCCAGCTCTATGAGAGCCTGCAGCAGCAGGTGAGGCTGACATCTCCTTCATGGGTAGGGCTGGAGGGAGGGGAGAAGCTTTAACCGGGGCTGATGGGCACCAAGGTTTAAAGAAAGGGAGTTAAGGGAGCTGGCGTGTGTGTGTGTGTGTGTGTGTGTGTGTGTGTGTGTGAAGTTTGCTTGGATGTTCCTGAGGATTTGGGGCACCTGGTGGCCCGGGGGGTCCAAATGATGTCAGGTGCCTCTTGATGATAATGGCGCCTCTCCTGGACAGACCTGGTCATGCCTTCGATTTCTCTCTCATTGCTCCTTGAGGTCCATGGGCTGGGAAGAGGGTCTTCCCAGGTGTACAACAGAGAGCACTGAGCCACAGGGAGCATTACAGACTGAAATGTGTCCCTGCACCTTCATAGGTTGAAGCCCCAGAGTGACTATTTGGAGGTGGGGCCTTTGGGAGGCGACTGGGGCTGAATCGGGTCATAGGAAGGGGTGATCCTATGAGACTGATGTCCTTCTAAGAGGAGGAGGGAATACAAGAGGGCTCTCTCTTTCTGCCTGCGCCCGCACAGAGGGAAAGTCCGTGGGAGGACACGGCGAGAAGGTGGCCATCTCCAAAGCCAGGGGGAGGGCTCACCAGAAACCCAACTGGCCGGAGCCTCCAGAACTAGGAGAAAACACATTCCCCTTATATAAGGCACCCAGTCTGTGCTATTCCGCTAGGACAGCCCCAGCTGACAAAGACAGGGAGCTTCAGTGACTCGCCAAGTGCTCACAGCTAGGGGGTGGCAGAGTCAGGATACAAAGCCAGGAAGCCTGCCGGCAGAGGCAGCACCCAGAGCAGCCTGCCAGGCTGCCCCCCGAGCCCTCCCTTGCAAGCCCTCTTGTGACTGGTGTTTTTGTTTCTTTACAGAAACTCTTCCAAGAGAAAAGGCCCAGGAGCTCGTCTTCGGGCGGAGCCACGGGGTCTCTGGCTTGACCTCCAGGCAGGCGTGGGGAAGCAGGACCTCAGGTGACAGGAGAGGACTCTGAGCAGAATTAAAAGGGGACACGGTGGGGGCGGGCTGGGTTGGCAGAGGCGATGCCTAGGACTTAGCAATCGGGAGGTCCAACTGGGGCCTGAGGGCGCGGTCAGCTAGTGAGTGTGGCGAGGTCCATCTGTCCTGCCTCTCCTTCACCACCCTGCTTCTTCATTGTCCCCCATCCCTTCTCTAGGGCGCCGCCTCTTTCCCGCTGCTTCTCCGATGCCCCATTCACTCACGCGCACACAGTAGGTCCTCATGAAGCATGTGTCGATTGGTGCGGGCTCTATATTAAATGCAGAGGATAGGACAGGAGGGTCCCTGAGGTGAGGGGCATCTTGTGCTCACCTTTCCGTGGCCAGCTGCCTGCTCTGCTCCCTTCCTCCGGCACCCAGGGTAATGCTGGGTAAGACCTGGGTTTGCACACAACAGGACGTCACTGGAAACTGCTCGACCAGATTCCATCAGGAAAGAGAGAGGCCCAGGAGCCCTTCTCTCCTCCCCGAGTTCAGAGCAATTTAGGATTCCTCAGAAACTGTGAGGACCTCTCCAGGCTTCCTGCATCACCTATCTTCAACCTACTTCTTTCTTATGTTTTAGCTGCTGTTTTGAAAGCAGTGCATGGACATTAAATACAACTTTTTAAAAATTCAGGCAGGGGCGCCTGGGTGGCTCAGTCGGTTAAGCATCTGCCTTCGGCTCAGGTCATGATGGAGCCCCGCATCCGGCTCCTTGCTCAGCCGAGAGCCTGCTTCTCCTTCTCCCTCTCCCTCTGCCTTCTGCTCCCCCGCTTGTGCTCTTTCTGTCAAATAAATAAATAAAATCTTAAAAAATAGTAAAATAAAATAAAATTCAGTCAAGTAAAACACAGGAGTTAGAAATAATGCATCAACTGGGCGCCTGGGTGGCTCCGTCGTTAAGCATCTGCCTTCGGCTCAGGTCATGGTCCCAGGGTCCTGGGATCAAGTCCCAAATCAGGCTCCCTGCTCGGCGGGAAGCCTGCTTCTCCCTCTCCCACTCCCCCCTGCTTGTGTTCCCTCTCTCACTGTGTGTCTCTCTTTCAAATAAATAAATAAAATCTTTAAAAAAAAAAGGGATAATACATCAACCAAGGGTGACGACTGTTGGCAGTCTGGTGTAGAATGTTCAAGTGCCTGCCTTCCGTACTTGTCCTGAGACTGCCCGCTGGGGACCCTCCCTCAAGGCTGCGTTAGATAAAAATCCTAGATTTTTTTCTGCAACCCAGAGTTTTCTCTCTCTCATTCTCAATTCCCTCCTTTGCCTACAGATCTAGAACTTTCTAGGTTGCTGTTTTCACTTCACAATATTTTCCTACCATTCTCTATTTCACTTAGTTTTTATAGACTTTTTTTATGTTACGAAATATTCTCTTGATTATATATACAATCTTTTAAATTAGACATATGTTAGTCATCACTTTCTGTTTTAAGTAGCCAAAAGCCACGCAAACTGGCTTACACAAAAAAGGGAGTTTATTGACTCGTGTGCTTAGCCAGCTTAGGGGTACAGCGGGTTTCAGGTGTGTCTGGATCCAGAGGACAAAAAAGGATGTCATCAGGTATTTGCCTTTCCATTTCTCAGGCAGGCCTGCACCAGGTTCAGACAAGAACCCTCCCCCAAGCCTCCCCCCGCAACCCAGTGCACCCCATTCCCACTGGGTGCTCCCAAGGGGAAAGGGGCGGGGCAGAGGTCCAGGGGCCGCTCTGATTGGTCAGGACTGGGTCACGTGCCTTTGCCTGTGCTGGATGGGGCCTGAGCGGTGGGCGCTGTAAGGTACGGGAAGGGAGAAAGGAGCCAGAAGAGGAAAAGCAAGGGCTACACTAGATGCCTTCCGCTTTCAGGGACATTTAGATTATTTCAAAAAAATTTTTTTATGCATAGTGGTAAAATGAATATCTGTGTGCCAAAAGCTTATTGCGTTATTATTACGATTTCTTTTCTTAAAATAGAGTCCCTGAATGGGGATCCCTGAATAAAGAAGGACCCTATGACGGGAAAGGAGGAGTCTCCACCTACCCCCCCCCCCCCCAATTACAGTAGTGAAATATATCATGGGAAACGGGAAAGATTTAAAGCGTGGAGGGGAAAGAGAGCCACTGTCCCCATTTCAGACCACAGCCTGCCAGTCCCATTTCCCACATCTTACCCTCGCGGGGGTTAAATAGTTGCCATGCCACTGTGCTTCCTGCTTTTGCTGTTCTCATTTCTTCTCAGAAGTTCTTCAGGAGCAGAATGATGACAGAAAAAACCCTCTGAAGGCCTGAGATACGCGGGAAGCCATTGGAGATTTCCTTCCAAGCCAATGTGACTGTTAGAAGCTTTGTTCAAACCCAAAGCCTGACTTATGGCCCACCACGCGTGCGTCAGGCTTCGTACACCTGCTTTGTGAGTGAGCTGCCTGAAGGAAAGCCATCCTGTCCTCGAGAAGTCAATCAATGCCCCTACCCGCCCTGCATTCCTTTCTGGTGAACCCGTGATTCCCGCCTGCGTGCAAATCTATAATCGTTAGAGCTTTTACGAGATGTAAGAAAGGCTATCACCCTGAAAACACGGTTCATTCTTCCTGGAGCCCGTTCTCCCCTGTGAAGAGCGTGTTTCCCGGGCAGCTGTCCTTCCCGCCAATAAAACTCTCTTTCTTACTTTTAGAGATTCTAAAAGATGTGTTCACTGTGCGTCCACAATTAAGTAAATAAACGGCTTTCTCCACGCTTAATACTGTTGGCTTCGTGTATGAGCATCCTTAAAGCCCCAAAGAAACGCTCTCGATAGTCCTCCCCGGCACAGAGCAGATCGTCCCTTGGCGTGGCCTTTTGTTTCTTCCGCCGAATGTCTGGGAGAAAACGGAAAAGAAAGAATTAGAGTGGCGCTCGGAGAGCCTCCTGCGACACTCAGTGGCCTGGTTCCATGTCTGCGTTTTGGTGCTTGAGCCCCGAGGTAAGTGTAACCGGAATGAAACCCGGGGCTCCACGCGGGCGTGGATGTGCGGTGCCCGCTCTCAGCAGAAATGACAGAAATGCCAGTCCTTACGGAGGCGACTGCGTGGGTATCAAGGGGCTGGAGAGGCCACCCTGCCTGCCTCATCCACGTCTCTCAGCCTCAGCCTCTCCCCCCTGAGGGCAGGGGCTCCCGGACGGGCCCTTGGTTGCCCCTGTCTCTGCACCCCCTCCCTGCCTCGGAGCCCCAGTGGCCTTCTCTCTCCTCCCGGGGGGGCAGTGCCTCCAAGCTTGAGCTCTCTGTGCATCCCTGTCTGCTTCCCCGGGTGTGAGCTCTTCCACCACCTGGAATCCTGCAGAACCGGCACCTTCACCTCCTTGTATCTTTCCACTATTAAGGCTTTGCACTCTGCACCAGGAGAAGCCCTTCATCCATCTGTCCTCTCTCTTCCAGTTTGAGTACGATTCTTTGTGGGGGTCCCAGGAGTTTTGAGAAGCCGATGGGATCTGAGATGTAATGTCTTTGTCAGTAAGATGAGAAAGATGAACACGCTCACATGCTCCAGTGAGAATGGACCAAACAGCTGACAGGTGCCCCTTGATATCACAATGGACACAAGTTCTAGGCTTTTCCAAAGCATTGGGCCTTCCAAAGTGGCCAGTGAAGTTGTCCTGCTCGTGCTGAGATCTGTGACCATAGCAAACAGGAGGCCAATGGTCCTGCTCATGCCCTGCCCCTCTACTAGAAGGAAATTGGGAATCTCCGTCAGTAAGCTAAACCCCAAGTTCGCTGGGGATGGGGAAGATCCATCCATCAGCACCTGACTAGTTGGGGGGGCCTCAAGGGGCATCCCTGTGTCACTCCAGCTCACCCAGGCCCACCCACAACCATGAGCTTCAGGTGGCCCTTGAATTTGTGATGAAACGCAAAATATGGTCATCTATAAATCACAGTCCCATGGGTCTAAAATCTAACTTTCAACTGAAAGAAAACCAAATGGCCATGTGTTCTAGTCGATGCACATGTTATGTTCAAAGAAATAGCCGTCTGGGGGAATGTGTATCAGAAAGCAGTTTGAACCCTTTCTTGGTCTCTTGAGAAAATGAAAAGATGTGTGTTTGCGGGAAAGGGGGAGAAAGGGAGAGATATCCTTAATTCGTAGTTATAATTCACCTAGACAAAACTACAGTGGAAAACTAGCTTCCTTTCTCTGATAGGCGAGACCATGTAGACCAGTACTGTTCAATGTGGCAGCCACTGGCCATGTGGTTATTGAGCACTTGAAATGTGGCAAGTCCAAATTAGGATGTGCTGTAAGTATAAAATACACACTGGATTTCAAAGGCATAGTGTAAAAAATATATAAAATATTCAATTAATAAGAGTGTCTGAGGGGCTCAGTCGGTTAAGTGTCCAGCTCTTGATCTCAGCTCAGGTCTTGATCTCCGGGTCATGAGTTCAAGACCCGCACTGGGCTCCATGCTGGGTATGAGCCTACTTGAAAAAAAAAATCCAGTTAAAAATTTTAATTGATCACATGTTGAATTGATAACATTTTGGACAGATTGCATTAAATTAAATGTATTATTAAAATCAATTTCACCTGTTTTTTAAAAATGCGCCTCCAGAAATATTTTTAAAAGATTTTATCTATTCATTTGAGAGAGAAAGAGAGCGTACTATGGGGGGCGGGCAGAGTGAGAGGGCGAAGCAGACTCCCTGCTGAGCAGGGAGCCCAACGTGGGGCTCGATCCCAAGACCCAGAGACAATGAAGAAGTAAACCAGAGTCAGGCAGGTGGAGATGAAAGTATCAGCTTGATTAAAGTTGTTGGAAGAAGCGGCTTTAGGTTGGATGCCCAAGCTGGTTTGCTTCTACTTCACTCCTCAGTAAGATGGCCTCACCCCTTGCCATGCGCAGTACTGGGCAAACTCGGGCCAGCCCTGTAAGCTTAGGAGCACAGATACTGAGTGCTCTGGAAGGCCAGCAGACCTCAAATTCATGGCGTTTCCTTCTGGCCAACTTGTCCGCCATATAACTTGCTCATCCTTCCTTGGAATTGGTAAGCAAAAGGATGGAGAGAGGCCAGGAGATTTCCTTGGATGGAATTCCTCCACGTGGAAACAGGACTAGGGAACAAGTGATCCTTCCACTAGTTCTAACCTTCTTTTAAATAAGCATTGGATTTATCCGTCAAATTCATAGTCAGCAGGTGGCAAGCAACCATCCATTAAAACAGCCCTGCTTTCAGCTTCACCCAGCTGCTCCCTCTGTACCAACCACTTCTGTCTGAAATATCCTGGGTCCACTGTTGGGCAGTATGACGTTTGCTGCAAGAGGTTTATTTGAAATGGGTCAGATCAAAACATTAATTAATTAACTCCAAGGTCTTGCTATAACCAGAATTCCTCTCATTTCCCATCCCAAGTGATAGCAAACCATGTCAAATATATTTCTTCAAAATTGTGCAGTGAGATCAAGATTTAGCATAAAGATAGTCCAACAGTAAAAAGTCAAGAACAAGAACCCCCACATAGCTTATTAGCCCCCTTCCATTGCAAATTTCCAGGAAAAAAATTTTTAAATTTGATCTCCTTGCAAATTAAAACTTAAAAGAGTCCGAAATCACATCGTGTTGCCCTCATGAGATGACAGTTCAAAGAGATCAAAATCTTTTAAAGTCCAAAAGAATCAAAGAAGTTTAAAATCAGTTTTTCTTCTAGAGTCCAGTGCAGTTTTTAAAGTCAAAAAATCATCCTCCCCAACATCTTATTTTGGTTCTTTTCGGCTAAAGGAGTTCTTTGATTTAAGTGTTTAAACATAGGAATAATTCCAAACATACAGGAGAGTTCAAAAATAGTACAAAGAATATACCTTCACCCAGATTCACAGCTATTAGCATCTTGTCCCTGTACCAGTTATCGATACCGCCATTCAGCTGCAAACCCACTCACTGGCAGTGCTCGGCTTCCGACGGTTTCCTTAGTCCGCGGGCTGCACGTTAAGCTTTGTCGGTAGAGGGCGCACTGCAGGCATCTCCTCCCGGCTCTGGCGTGAGCTCCTTTCCTGGTTCCTGTGGTGCTCAGCCGCCAGATGGAAGGGATCCATCCCAGTGAATTCAGCATCAGCCCAGAGGCAGCTTTCTGGGGAGTTCCAAGGGTGCCCCCCCAAGCTTCTCAGCTGAGACTTTTCCGAAGGTGGCTTCTGCCCAGCTGGATTCCCAGGGAGGTCAACAGCCTCCCCACCACCTTGTGCGTTTTTGTCGGCACCCCAGTGGGCAGGCCTGCTTCCAGCCTTGGCTAGCAGCACCTCAGCCAACTCCTCTGTCTCCATTCCTTTTAAAAATTATCATTTATAAACTCTACCATCCTTCTTTGGGTGAAGCCACAGTTTGACTATCTGAATTCTAAAACCGTGGGGATGCTCCTGTGATGAAGACATTCATCATGGTGAATGTACCTTGGAACCCATAGACAAGTCTGAGGAATTCAGGGTTGGCCCCTCCCTGGTACCCTCTCTTGGTCCTGAAGGTGGATGGAAATAATATTTTAAAAAAGAGGGACAGTGTTTGGGGCAGCTGCATGAACCCAGCCTACCCATGCGAGATACTAACAGATTTTTTTTTTAAAAACTGGGTAAATGGCGATTCTCTTTCTCTTTTTCGAAAACTGCAATAAAATAAACATAACATAAAATGTACCATTGAAACCGTTTCTACGTGTGAGTTCAGCGGCACGAAGTGCATTCACATGGTTGCACAACCATCGCCAACATCCATCTCCAGAATTTTGTTGTCATCCGAAACCGAAACTGTCCCCAGTAAGCACTAACTCAGCAGCCACCCCCCCCCCCGGGGACCCCTGGTTACCCATACCCTGCATGTGCCTGCTCTGGCTACCTTATTTAAGTGCAATCACACAATATTTGTCCATTTGTGACTGGCTCATTTCACTTAGTATAATGTCCTCGAGGTCCATCCATGTCATAGCATGTGTCGGAGTTTCCCTCCTTCTTACGGCTGAGTAACACTCCATCACACGTATGCAGTATGCTTTGCTTACCCATTCATCCGCTGTGGCCACCGGGATTGTTGCCATACTGTTTCCCACACCAGCTGTACCAGTTTGCAATCCCACCAACAGCACCCATGGGTTCTAATTTCTCCACAGCCTCGCCAACACTTGCTGCTTCCTGGTGTCTCCTAGGAGCCATCCTAATGGGTGTGAGGTGGTATCTCAGCATGGTTTGGATTTGCATTTCCCTGATGATGAATTGATTGAGCATCTTTTCCTGGGCTTATTGGCCGTTTGTATGTCTTCTTCGGGAAAACGCCTATTCAAAATCATTGCGCGGTGAATTCTTAACATCATGAATTTTTGATGCTCGACATCGATTTGACGCTGCTGTGTGCAGCCCGGCTGACTAACTACCCTAATAGTAGAGAAAAAATGGTCCCCCACTCCCATCTATCAATATCTAAAAGAGCTGTGAGCCGAGTTTCTCTTTCCTGTAATTGATCTACTTCCTGAGCTGTACCGCTTAAAGGCCAAAGGCTGGCATCAACCAAGACCTATTCTTGTGAAAGAGAGAGAGAAAGAGAAAGAGAGAGAGAGAGATCAGCCCTTCATGAGGACAAGGCCACCTGCCTCTGTGAGCTGCCAAGTTCATAACCGCACATGACCTACATAACCGAAGACAAAGGCCTAAA